GCACAAAACCACAGCAATTCAGTGGAAATAGGATTAGTTCACTTTCAACACAGTGAATACCTGGTCCACTCCCAGAGGCAGTAAGGGCCAACTAGAAGCCCAAACTTAGCCTGTATGCAGCTTACTTGTGTAGTAAATCCTCACTTGTACCCCACAACGCTAAAATACATACGTACATATATAGAAATAGTTCACATTAAAATAACAACTATCACTGTGTTAAAATTTGAGATGTTCCTTTCTTTTCTTGTTTTCTCATGCCACAATTTTAGATACATGTGGGTGCCTGAATGTCGCACTCGCTTGCTAACAGTGGGGCTCTTAGGTGGTTTAGAAACTGGTAAGCAAGCTATAACTACAGTTTGAGGGGGATTCCTGAGACTAGAATAAGAGAAACCAAATGCCTTCATTGGGCAAAAGGTTTAAGTGTATATTTTCTATAGATCTAAAAATTCTATATTTTCTATAGATCTTCAATTTAGTAATCATGGTTAAGCACGGTGGCTCAAGCCTGCAATCCCAGCACTTCGGGAGACCAAGGCAAGAGGATTGCCTGAGCCTGTGGGTTTGAGAACAGCCTGAGTAACTTGGCGAGATCTCATCTCTACAATAAATAAATAAATAAAAATTAGCCAAGCGTGGTAGCGCATGCCTGTAGTTCTGGCTACTTGGAAGACTGAGATGGAAGGATCACTGGAGCCCAGCAGGTCGATGCTGGGGTGGCACTCTAGTCTGGGCGACAGGGTGAGGCTCCAACTCAAAAAACATTTTTTTTAGAAATTATGTAACTTAGTTATCAGTAATTAAATTGCTACTTTGATGTAATCTGACACTTTTATTTTTTTATGTCGATTATTTCTGGACTTGGGAGGAAAATACAAGAGTATGGTCTTTTGGGCCCATCAAACATCAGTAAGTAGGAGATAATACCACAAGTTGATAATTACATAAGAAATGGATCAAATTGTGAACAGGTCAGGGAAAAAAATTTAAAGAGAGCATAAATGGTATTTGTGAATACTTGACAATGTATTCGTAAGAGTGAATACTTTGACAGTGAGTTGACAATAAATTGACTCCTCTCAGGATGTGTGACTGTATTGGGCTGACATAAAGAAGGTGACCAAAATTGAAGGGTGTCTCTAGTCCAACAGTTAGAGGCAGCTATAACTTCTCGTCCCTTCATAAATTTAACAGAACAGAATTTCCTCAAGGGTACGGGAAATACTTTTTTCAATCCTGACCCACAGAGAGCTGTTGCTAGCTCTTTCACTGGTTTAAATTGAGATCAAATTTTTAAAGTTTAGAGCAGATTGGGGAGAATATCGCAAAGAGTGAGGTGCATTAGAGCAATAAAGAGATATTCCGCATTGCTTTGACATTAGAAAGATTCCAGACCAATGGAAAAGGTAAGTCATTCCTTAAGATTGTTATTTTGCTTTTTTTTAAAAAATGTGAAGGTCCCTCAATAGAGAGTCTAATTTTTTTTCTAGAAACAGAAAACTTGATCTATCAAGCATTTAAAGTATCTCAGAACGATATTCATCAAAATTCATTTCTTAGGTTGCTATTCAATTCATTTCAAAAGTGCCATTTCAATTCACTTCACAGTGCCAATTAGGAAGATTTAAGAGTGCTCAAGTTAGCAAAGTTTGTCATTACAGAAAAAGAAATGGAATAAAATGTTAAATGACCCTTGTCTTCAGGCAAGCACTTTTGGGCTTCCTCTTTTACCCAATTTTCTAGTTTCTTTCCTTTCTTGGCCTTGGTGCCTTCACCTAAACCTGTTTCATAGCCTTCTCTTCTGTTTTTATTCAAAGTCTTTATCCTCATTCTGTGTTGACTGTTTGTTACATGTCTACCTACTCCCATATGTTTAATACTACACAAGGGAGAGAACATGTGTCTTATTCACTTCTATATCCTCTTTGGCTAGCACTATGCCTCATAAATAGTAAACTGACAATAAATATTTGATGTTACTCTAATGGTTGCCACCCTTATTACTTATTTATGTTCTAGGCCAGTCATCTACTAAAATGTTGAATAATACCGAGATGAGAGGATTGCTTGAGCCTGCGGGTTAGAGATCAACCTGGGCAACATGGTGAGACCTCGTCTCTACAATAAATCAAAAAATTAGCCGGACCTGGTAGTGCATGCCTGTAGTTTCAGCTACTTGGAAGGCTGAGGTGGAAGGACTGCTAGAGCCCAGCAGATCGACGCTGGGATGGCCATGAGTGTGCCACTGCACTCCAGCCTAGGCAAGGGAGTGAGACTCCAACTCAAAAACAAACAAACAAAAAAAGTTGAATAATAATTTAGAAGTCATGTAAAAATCCAACATGCTTATATCAGAACTGTCACAATTTGTATTTCTTAATGACAAAGAAATAAGACTTTAGCAATAAGAATCACCAGTTGATACAAGAAAGAGATAGTTCTGAAATGGGTTGTTCAGAGAAACTATTATGAAAATGGGAAAGAATAAGCAAAAATCTAAGAGATGTGTGTTCTTCCCAAGGCAGTAGGGAAATTCTAGTAGACATAAATCAGAAAAAATCATGTGAAGAAATATGTGGTACATGTCCTAGCATAAGAAATAATCTTAAATAGAAAAAAAAAGTCCCAATAAGAAAAACTGTAAATAAGGTGGAAATATATCTGTAGTGATTGGAAATATGTGGATAAATTTTTTGACACCCTTATTACAAGGTAAGCACTCAAACTGAGTGTGAGCTGCACTCAGTGACTCACTTTTAACAAGGAGAAAATAAAAGCAGGAGAGATAGTGTATAACTTTGGAGATTAGGTCATATGAGCTTTGCAGCTTCCTGTTTAGACTGCCTTTGGATTCCCTCACTCTGATGTAAGCAGCAACCGTGTTGTAAGCACATGTAAGGGGCAATAGGAAGAGATCCATGTAATGAGGGAAGAACTGTGGTCTTCTGTTAACAGCCACATATGGAGTGACCTTGCAAGCAAACCCACATCAGATGACCTTAGACGACTGCAGCGCTGGCTGACAGCATGACTGCAATCCCATAAAAATTCTTGAACCAAGACTGCCCAGCTGAACTAGTCCAAGATTCTTGCCCCTCGGAAACTGTGTAAGATAATAAATGATTTTTGTTTTCGCGGCTCAAGTTTTGAAGTAATTTGTTATACTAAAATAGATGACTAAAAGAATTCCATAGGTAGTTCAGGGGATCCAAGAACTTTTTAATAAGGGAAATAAGGTTGCCCCTGAATGACAACATGGTGATGGCTATCAACTGTGGAAGTAAATCAAGTGATCAAATATACATATATAACTTATGTCATAGACAAGTAGATGTTTCTCCAAATATTTTTCCCCTTTTACTCTTTGTATAGGTAATTTAGTGAACACTCTACCCAGGTCCCATCTGACATCAGACAGAGGGTTTTAAGTTAATCAGTCAATCAATGACTGACTGAATGATGGATATTGCTATAAAGCAGAAAAAAACCGAAGTTATTATTTTACCACCATTGATTATTTCTATGAATGTTTCCCTGGTTCTACCCAGTATCATCGCTGTTTTTCTATATGCAATTACTTAACTTCCCTTGGCCTCAGTTATTTCATATATAACTGAGGACTGTAATTGTAATTAATAGAGATGATGTTCGGATTATAGTAGTTAATATATATAAAATAGAACAACAAATGATATACAAAAAGCAAGATATAAGAATACTATTATTATAAAGACTTTATGAATCTTCAGAACTTCTTATAAGATAATACACCATAAGTAAAGCTCAGATTTCAGTTCTAAATTCAAACAGCCTGGTTATGAATATTTCTCTATTCTTAACTTCCTCACCTGTAGAAAAAGAATATCTAGTATTAACCTAATAGGAGTTTGTGAGTTAACCTAATCAATAGATGTGAAGTGCTTAATATACTTCTTATTCCAGATGCTTGAGTGAGTTAATCTAAATAGATGGGTCACTGGCCTGAAATTGATTCAATAAAATGTTTAAGTTTAAACATTCAAAGATTCCAAAATATAAATAATAAATATTTAAATAGTAGTTTAATTTCAGCTAATTATAGATACATTGGATTTTGAAAAAAAATAGTGTCTCTCTACAATGCATAAAGAATTCTGGCTCAACAAGGGTTTCCTATGCAAATTAATAGAAATTTATGTTCCCACTTTATACAAATAGATTAATGGCCAGTTTTACATTTGAGGCAAAATGAATCAACACCAAACTTCTCTGACAACCAAAGAAATAAATCTCCCAATTGACTTCTTTGTAATGGGAAGATATGGTTAAAGCCAAAGAAGTTAAAAATCAAGTTTAAACTTAAGTTTATCAAACTGAGCAATCCTAGTTTTAAAATTTTAAAGTTTTAGCTGACCCTAAAACTTAGCTTTATTGAATGGTCAGAGAGCTGCTGGTAGTAGAATAGAGCAAGATGTAAATTTTGAAAGGGTAGAAGGAAGGAGGAAGGAAGAAAAGAAGAAAGGAAGGAGGGAGGGATGAAATGGAGAGATGGAGGTAGGGAAGGAGGAAGGAAGGAAGAAAGGAAGGAAGGACGGAAGGAAGGAAGGAAGGAGGGAGGGAGAGAGGGAGGGAGGGAGGGAGGAAAGAGGTAAGGGGAAAAGGAAGGAAAGAGAGAGAAAAGATGGAGGTGGGAGAGACAATCTATGCCCTCTTGAAACTTACTGCATCTTAATCAATCAAAACAAAGTTCCAACAAGTACAGACTGTGTAACACAGAAAAGATACATTGGTTTGGCAAATTACAAAATGAGAAAAGGCAGGGTTAATGTGAAAAATCTTCCTTGAAGCATAAATCAGTGGCTCAGTCTGCCCATTCTCTACTACATAACTCCTAGGACTCCCAAGAAATACCCCCTAGTGACTTTGCCCATCTTGATATTTGGCAACAACCCTGTTGTGAGGCAAGTGGATATAAAGCAACTCCCCAAATAATTCTAGAGAGGAATAGCTCCTATACCTTACAGTCCAGAAGTATAGACCTTTTGAGTTAACACCTTCCTCAGGGCCATTTTCGCATCCTTGTTTCTCAAGGTGTAAATCAAAGGATTAAGTGAAGGAGTGACAATATTATTTAATACCTGAATAGCAGAATCTAGCCAGGGACTGGAAGCAGGACGGAGATAGATGAGCATCACAGGCCCGTAAAACAAGAGAATTGAAAGCAAGTGGGCACTGCAAGTTGAAAAGGCCCGCCTCCTGCCCTCTGAGGAGCTGATTTTCAATATGGAAAGGACAATACGACTGTAGGAAGTCAGTATAAGACAAAAGCACACAAGAGTCACAACATCCACATTAGTAAAACTCACCCTCTGTGCTAGAGAGGTGTCTGCACAGGCCAGAGGCAGCACCACTGGAATATCACAGAAAAAATTGTTTACCTCATTGGGGCCACAGTAGGGTAATGTAAAGATAAGAAATGTGAGAATACTTCCATGAAGACAGCCCCCCAGCCAAGTGCCCACTGTCAAGGCAGCACACACCCTTTGGTTCATGATGACCATGTATCGCAAAGGGTGACAGATAGCCACAAAGCGGTCATAGGCCATCACAGTGTAGAGGAAACACTCAGTGCCACCCAGGACATGGTAAAAGAAGAGCTGGGAGGCACAGCCCTGGTAAGAGATGGTCCTGCTTTGCCCCATTAAGTAGAGCATCATTTTGGGGGAACTCACTGAAGGGAAAAATATGTCAAACACTGACAGGTTTCCTAGGAAGAAATACATGGGAGTGTGGAGGGTGGAGGAAGTAAGGATGGCCAGAAGAATGAGCAGGTTCCCCAGCAAGGTGAAGAGGTAGAAGGTCAAAAACAAGACAAAGAGCATATTCTCCAGCCCCTCCGTGTTAGGAATTCCCAACAGGATGAACTCAATCACAGGGGTGTAGTTCCTCATGTTTACGCATTGGGCAATCCTGGAAAAGCAAAGCAATTAACATGATGTAAGAACACAAGTAACTCAGAGAACAGCTTCTGAATAAAGTGTTTTCTATTTAAGGTAATGACTGCAAGCAGAAGAAGACCAAAGAGGGAGAAGATAGCAGTAATAAATCTAGGCCTGATGCAAAGAATATGTTATATTTGGCCTCGTTTTTTTCATATGTTAAATGAGGTCACAGAATAATTTATCTTTACAGCTGCTAAAACTCTTATAGTCATCAACTCTTACCAGTTTAATGTAGTTTCTCTCAATCTGGTTTATTATCAGATAATAATAAACTGGTATATTTCTTTTTTTATTATTCTAAAATGTGGTGTACAATTCAGGATTAGGTATACAAACGTTGATTATGCAGGTACCCTTGTTAATGAGGTATGCTTCTCCCTCCCCTAGCAGTTTTCCTCAACTGCCAATCCCACTCTACTCCTCTGACAGTTTCCCACTATTCCAATTCCTTTCTTATAGTATTATAATTGTTCAAGATCTGCTTATGAGTGAGAACATATGGTACTCTGTTCTTTGTTTCTATGATAGATCACTGAG